GAGTGTAGTGTGTGTGTGTGTGTGTGTGTGTGTGTGTGTGTGTGTGTGTGTGTGTGTGTGTGTGTGTAAAAAAGCAACAAAGAGTCCTGTGGTACCTTATAGACTAACAGACATATTGGAGCAGAAGCTTTCGTGGTGAGTGTATGTGTGTGTCTGTGTACACACAAGTGCATAAAAGATCTCCACTCTTTATTAGTTGCTATAGGACGTTAGAGTCATTTCTACCGAGCCCTATTGGTTTCATCTCTATCTCTGTTACATTTTGTAGGGCTTTCCCATAAGGTAAGAAAAGACTGGAATGAGGAAAATAACTGGGGAAAATGTCCTGTTAGTTAGACCTTCTTCTTGTCCCCTGAAGCAAAGTTTAGACGTTCTTCAAGAAGCACCATGCTGAGTAGAGACCCAGTGGAGTCCATGAGGCTGCAGGACCGGGGCTGCTATTATGAATAAAACCAAGGTGTTTCTTCATTGGGAACCACAGCTTGTGATTTCCTGCCTAGGGTGCAGCTTTAGGGTCCCCGGATTTTGTTCTTTAAACTTACTTCACATGAATGTAAACATTTTAAAAACCCTAAAAAACATTGTTTTAAATAACAAAAACACAGAGTCCCATCGGCTTCATTAGGACCACTTGTGCTGAAAGCTAAGCACGTGTTTAAGTACCTTGCTGAATCAGGGCCTTTAGTGTGCTTTAATATTGCCTTTAAAAATGTTTCAGAAATAATACACTTACTTCTGTTCTTTCTTTGTCTTCATGCCTCCCAGGGTGCGTGTGGCTAGAGAGCTCTATAGATCTCTCGCTGTGTGTAGATTGTTAGACTGCAATAGCACCGAAATGTGCTAGATGCTCTAGGCACACATTGGCCCCTGCACCAAAGAGCTTACAGTCTCAGTCAGAGAAACATACCAAGTGGAGACTGGGCACAGGCTACAACATACAAGCCAAGTATTTGATATAAGCTTTGTATCTGCACATCTGGTCTTTACTTATACTCCCTCTTTCTAACCCATAGTGGGCCAGATCCTCAGCTGGTGTACATTGGAATAGCTTTGTTGACTGCAACGAAGCTGCATCAGTTTACACCAGCTGAGGGTTTGGCCCCAGCACTCCTTGGTCTGTAGGATCAGCGAGATGGAAAGGAAAAACTGTGCCTAGTTGTGAATGGATGTGTGTATTTGGAGGAGGGTGGAGGGAATGATTAGACATGGGTGCAGAGAGATTTGAAAGCCCATGTCAGCACTAGCATTAGTACAGCACAGATGCCAACACCACCTGATAAACTTGGCTAGGAAGATGATTTTTTGTTTTGTTTTTGTTTTTTGTTTTGCCAGAAGCAAATTTTGTGGCCTTGACTTTTGCACAGGCTATTCAGCTTGCTTCCCCCCTCTCTCCTATTTCCCAGCTCTAAGCACTAATAAATGATGCATCAGCACTTACTGTTAAGAGATCAATCACCAGCAGTTTTATCACAAGAGACCTTTGGGGAAAGCCAAATCCTTCAATGTACCAATTACACAAAAAGGCAGTAGATCAGAGAGGCTGGGATCACAGTCAGTTTTTATTCTGGAAGTCTAATGTCAGGATGCATATATGGACATCAGGAAAATGAGGAACCTAGACTCCTTTTTGTGTCCACCCATAGTTCCAGGGTTTTACTGATTTTAAAAAAATC